CGACGACGACCATGACGACGACGCAATTTATTCCCGTCGCAAAAAAAAAAAAAAAAAAAAATTTGTAAATTTGTAAATTGCAAACGTTCGCGATTGACGACCGGCAAATTTACAAAATCGACAATTCCAAGAAAAAAAACCTTCGAATTAGGCGCATTCTACCGTTCAAAAAAAAAAAAAAACCTGAGCGCGTTCAGGAATTCGAAAAAAAAAAACCGCCGCCGCCGCCGTCGTTCTCTGCTTTTCGCGACGACGTAACGTTTAAAAGAAAATTTTAAAAAAAAAGATGGCGTTCGTTTTGAATCATCATGTGAGAGGGGGAGGGGGAGGGGGAAATCTGTCGCCGAATTTGACGACAGTTTTTTTTTTTTATGTACATAATAATCGTTAGAATTTTATAAAACAAAAAAAAAATCAATAAACGATAATAATAATAATAATAATAATAATAATAATAATAATGAATAATTCAATTCAAATAAAGTCAAATTTTTTTAAAAACAATTTTTCCCTTTTGAACGACAGTGAGAGAGAGAGAGAGAGAGAGAGAGAGAGAGAGAGAGAGAGAGAGAGAAAAAGAAAAAAAGGGGGGGGGGAAATTAATAACCTGACCGATGATTTGAATTTTCATCGCGAATTCCGTCCGTTACGGGGAAATTTTCCAAAAAAAAAAAAAAAAAAAACCGTCGTTGTAATCGTTCGCGAGTTCAATTACGGTTAATGAACGTAAAAGTAACATGACGGGACGTTTCTAATCATTTCCTTGATTAAAAAAAAAAAAAAAAAATCGCCATAATAATAATGATAATGATAATAATAATAATAAAAATCAATGATTTTCACTATTCGTTATTATTAACAACACAAATTTTTTTTAACGAAAGAAAGTGTGGGGGGCGGAAAATCAAGAACTCTCCAAATAATAATTATATAATTACGAAAACCATAAGAATTCTCCCAATAATTTTAATTTGTTTTTTTTTTTTAATTGCTGGAGAATGTTCGAAGAGTTCTTAACGATTTTTACAATTTCCGCCTTTCCAAGAAGGCGTTTCGATCGTGTCGGAGTTAAACGGAAAAATTAGGGGGGGGGGCGGTGATAGGAAAAACAATTAAAAGAAGAAAACAAAACAAAAACACTCACCAATGTAAAAATATTAATGGCTGCTTTCGCAATACGATAAATATGGTATCGCCAAGTTCTGGAAGTTTCGATAAAACAAACATCCAACTCCAGAATCCCGAAACTTTATCCTGCTCGATGAAACTGTAAAATACATTAAAAAAAATAAAAATTTAAAATAAAAGTGTAAAAAAATTCCAAAAAAAAAAAAAAAAAAAAAAAAAAGAGAGTAAATTATGATAATGATTTATTAGACTCCAGTATTAATTTAGATTTAATATTAGAAATTCTCCAGTAGACTCCAGTAATAATTATTTTAATAAATAACAAAAAAAAAAAAAATTTTTTTTTTATTTATCCCAGAGCCTCAATAAGAACCGAAGGGTAGGTAAAAAAGAAAATGGCGGAAAATTTACCGCGATATTGACATAATATTATTATTATTATTAGTATTATTATTATTATTATTATTATTTAAACATTCTCATCACGAACTTGATTTTGAATCAAAAAAAAAAAAATGAAATGCAAGAAAGTTTATTACAAAATCCAACCACTACTACCACTACTACTACACGTTCGTTAAAGTATGCAAGGTTAAATAGAAAGAAAGAAAATAATAATAATAATAATAATAATAATAATAATAATAATAATAATAATGAATAATAATAATAATGATGATTTCAAACGAAAAATTATTAGCGAAGTATAGACGCAAAAAAAAAAAAAAAAAAATGATAACACGTCGTGTTGTTTGTATCTAATTATTATTATTATTATTATTATTATTATTATTATTATTATTATTATTAATATTGTTATTGATAATGACATTAATAATGATGATAGCGATGATAATATTTATAATAATAATAATAATAATAATAATAATAATAATAATAATATTACGAACGGTTATGATGTCGTCGATTATTAATTTAATAACGTTAAAAGATATCATCATTATCATCATCATCATCATCGACTTTTTTTGTTTTTGTTTTTTCCCCTAATTATTTGTTGGGTTTTTCATCGACGACCATTTGCTTTTAAAATAATAATAATAATAATAATAATAATACCTTGGCACACAAACGCTATGATACAATCCGTAATTTTTTAAAGTGTGTAACAATTCGGGAGCCGTTCTGCAAGCTCCCATAATGCTGAATCCGGCGAGTAAAGTGTTCCAGAGACTCAAAACACCTCGAAGATTGTATTTGGGCCTGGATTGCATGTAATGCTGACCCCCGAATATTAATATCATGTACACGCCGACGTAATAAAATCCATATGTCCAATTTTCTCTCATCCATCTCCTCGTTTCGTAATGTGCAAACTCTTGTTCAAAGTTAAACACGTACGAATAGTTTGGTAAGGTTACTTCCATATAATTCATCTTTCAAACAACTGCAACAAACAACAAAAAAACATCATCATCATCATCAATTCAAAT